ATGCAGAAAGAGAAGAGGACATGGACAAAACAGACTGACAAGAGGACTAAGACCAGAACAAATGACAACAGACCAGGATGGAAGAAATAGAACACCAAATGCATATAAAACCTAAACGGCAAAAAAAAAACCTAGTACCTAGATCTAAGAATTGAGACACAGAACCAGGATTACACCCTAAGACATCAACTAGGACATGACGGGATGAGCAGGGACGGTGAAAACTGAACTATACATAAAATCATCACAAGAATCAACAAGGCAGAACAGTAGAAACACAGGACGTGGAACCAAAAACCCCTAAATAAGACCTGAAATCCTTAAACCCTGACGGTAATATTATTTACAGAGACCCAGCAGTTTCCACCATGAGCAAACACTTGGAGACAAAGGCCAGGAAGAAACCTCGAGCAGACTCTTGACTCAGGGAGGGTGGCCATCTGCCTCGACCGATCACTGTTAGGAACCCTGAGATTAAACTCAGAATTCTGACTTTAAATTCAGAACTAATGCACATGTGGCCCTAATCCTCTTCTGTAGATATATATTGAAATTTTATACTGATAACAATTTGCTTAGCCCGGCCAGATTGCGCCTGCACCCCCAACACACCAACTACCACTCGGCCAGTGACATATAACACTTTTTTTCAAAAGTGTCACCTCTGAAGACATGGACGTGCCCACCTGCGTCACATCAGCACATCAGTTTCGTCTCTGCTGCAGCTGCTGATTTTACATCTTTCTGTTCCTTTCTCACACTGTTCACCACGACACAGACAGAACTACTTTTTTTAATATAAGAGTAATGATGTAATTTGTTACTTTCATCCCTGTCTAGAGCCACCATCAAGTAAAATTTCAATTTGTCAAACAAGCAAAACTAAGATGGTGAACTTGGTTAACATCAGCATATTAGAATTGTCATTGTGATTATGCTAGCATGCAGATGTTAGCATTTAGCTCAAAGCACCGCTGTGCCCAAGTACAGCCTTACCAAGCGGCTAGCATGGCTGAATACTGTTATTCCTGTCACCTTGAAAGATATATTGCAACATATTCGGCATTAACAAAAGTGTTCGCCACACTCTGATGAGTTCCATTTTTAAAGACTACATTGTTTTGTCCCTGTTTCCTTCTGCATTTTCCATGAAATGTTTCTCTCACTGTGTGTGTGTGTGTTTGTGTGTGTGTGTGCGTTTGGGTGTGGATTTGGGTGGTTTGGGGGGGTGGGGTGTAAGCGAGTGTCCTTCAGGAAAATGTGTTCTCCAACACTAATACCTCTCCCTGCCCTTGATGGTGGAATTGGGACAGTATGTTACCATGGCGACTGGCCCCATAATTGTTACCAAGGCAATATGAGAGAGAGGCAGCAGTGCAGCAGTGGTTGTCAAGGAGACAGAAAGATTGAGGGAGGAGAATTTAAGAGATTGTGAACAAATAGTGTGAAATAAAAGTGAGACAGAAAAGAAGAGAAGAGATGAGAAGAATTAAACAAGGATTAGAGAGGAATGGATTGTAAAGAATGGAAGAGGAAGTAGAGAAGGAAGAAACAAGGTAAGAGAAGAAGATAAGTTGGAGTTGGGGGAGCATAGGTGTCATTTGCACTGGGGACGCTGGGGACATGTCCCCACCACTTTTTGAAAGGGCATAATTTGTTTTAAAAAAAACATTCTGAAATATAGCTTGCAGTTAAATAACAAATAGAAAGGTTTCTTTGCACATTAAGAAAACACGTAAAGCAATTACAATATAGAAGAAACAAATGTGCATTGTCCAAAACAAAAAAATCACTTAAGCTAAAATTTAACAACTTCTGGACACAGTTTCTTTTTGGCCAACTATGTGTTGACTCAGTAGGGATGATCTACAGAAGAAACAGATCTGAATGCAGCACAGAATGACTGAGAGCTGTACTGACTTACATTTATATATATATATTAAAATGTCATATGCTTCCTGAATTTTGTGTTTCCTTTTACATAAATAAAAACATTTCCACCATAAATTATATAAGAAACTTTCACCACAATGCAGGAAATTAAAGATCTATAAAGATCAAAATTTCCTGGGGGAGATCCCCCCAGACACCCCGCTTATATATCTTGGCATTGTGGATATCGTTGAAACACTGATTAAGGATCTTTTCATTTAGTTCTCTTGAACCTATTATTGCCTATCGCGATATCTTGCGAGCTAAGTCTCTCTTCACACCCCTAATCTGAGCCCCAATGAGCACTTTTCAACACAAAGTGACGTCATTGTGGGGGAGAGAACTACTATGTCTTGGACCCAGAGCTTTGACATATCAGCATGTAGCAACCAGTGTACAACCAAGTCCTGGTCATCTTGAGGAGGCCTAATTCTGTCACATCACCCTGGCTATTTTTGGTGTTCACCGAGAGGAAGGGCACTGCTGACCAACCATAGCGGCGGAAGGAAGGAAGACATCTTGATGAGTACCTCAGGGTGACTGGCTGTCATACTTGCAGAACTCTATTCATCCACTGTCCGAAAGCATCTGCTGACCTCCAAACATAGTCCAGATGGCCCAGATAGCTTCAGGCAGCATGAGCGCAAGGTCAAACACCAAAAACACAGGAGGTAGCACTTCCTCCGGCCCTCCCATGAGTCTTGGCGTTCCAGAGTGAGAGTCAGTTGACTTGGTTACAAAAAATATTTTCTGGCACACAGCCAGCAATGTATCACTGCTTACAGCTTTTTTAGTGACAGTAGACGAGAGTGACGTCAAACAACAGGGGACATTGCAGCCTGGCTCATGTCTTCACAGCTGAGATGTTGACAAACACTTGACAATTAGCAGCTTAGTTTTCAGAGGATTGATGGGGAGATGGCTTGCTGTGATCGTGGGATTGAAGAAGGCAATATCTATTCCTATGTTAAGCTACTTTCAAATCACTAAAAAGTTTTGGTCATTTAGAGTGGAGAACAATCCAACAAATGTAGTACGCTTTGGAAAATGTACATAAAATGTTACTTAAAATACACGTGCTTTGTTGGGAGGTAGTAAAGGGACATTCAGCAGCATTGGAATGGTCTTTTAAATTATTGTAAATTCTCAAAGTAGAAAATATTGATAGCATTAGTACTGTAGACAAGTGCATTATGTTGATGTGTTATGTTGAGAACAGGTAAACATGGAGGAAGCGATCAGGCGACAGAGAAATGTCTTACTTAATTATAACAAAATATTATGGGTGTGGAAAATAATTGATTCTTAGATGCATCACGATGCGGACTTGGACAATTCTGAATTGATTTCCAAATTTCAATAATCGATTATCCAGAGGTTAATTGATAATGTAATGTTGACAGAATGAAAAAGGCGGAACTCTGAAATGTGGATGTGCAGCACCGGACTGTCTGCGATGTGCACACAACAGAGTTGTGTTCTCCCTGTTTGGCACACGGCAGCTGCTGAATGAATGACTGCAGCTACTTTCACATGATTTTCACTCACATGGTAAGGCTTGGCTAGTGTCCTCTACTCATTCTTCAACGGACATCTATGTGACAGGTCACACAAAGTGAGGGTGAAAGTGAGCAGAGGAAACTGTGAGCGCTAAGTTTCTGTCTGGCAGTAAATGTACAGTGCAGGTCACAGTGTGTCCGTTACTTAAACTCTGTCTGTTGTTTTCCAACTGCTGTGCAGGAAAGCTAACAGTACGTTTTTTAGCTACTGGTTCAATTTTGTTTATATTCATTCAGCCACATATTTAGTATATTGAGAATGAACAAAATGCCATTTTTCGCAGTCCTTGTTACTCAATACAAGATTACAATAATCAACTTACAAGACAAGACATGTAACTACACTAGACAGGACAAAAAAAAGGTGGAGTGAACGTGGTGTGGCTAGAGCATTGTAAAGTGCATAGTTCAACCCGTATATGAATATATAATAATAACAGCAGCATCAGAAATGAAAATAGCAGCAACAGAGGTCAGTAATAATGCTGTAATATGTTATAATGCCATGTAATGTTAGCTACATTAAACGTTAAAATGTTAAATAGCCGCATGTCACTACTACCTATTTGGTTGCATCATTAAAAGTACCAAGTAGTCACACAGTGAGAAAAGAACATCTTTATCCTATTTGTTTCACAATTGCATCGTAGCTCTCATAATCGTAATGACGTGCCTAATGATTCCCACCCCTAGAGGTGATGCATGATATCAAATCGAATTGTTGGCAGAATAATCGTAATTGAATCATATTGTGAGACCAGTTGAGAATTTATAGTATATATATAAATGGAATTTGTGATAAAGGGATTAAATGGACATTTCAAAGCACTGGTATGGTCCTTCAAAGTGATAACAATGACAATATAATATTATATCCTCAAAAAATCCTGCCGCCCCCTCTGCCAGTCAGTAAGCAGTGTCACCTTGTTTAGTTCTGGAATAGCTGCCAACCCCCACCCACCATGAATCCATCGATATCATCTTGGGACCATAGGAAATTAAATCAGCTGTGTCTGAGACAGCACTTGTGACAGACAGTTGAACAAACACGCAAACAGAATAAACAACTGAAGGTCAATCTATATCCATACCCCCTCCCCTACAACTGACCATTGCATCACTGAAATGTTTTCCATTTCACAGACTTACAACATTCTCCACAGTAACCACTGTTAGATCTGCATCTCGTCAGTGCTCAGGGAGGCAGAACTGACATGGATGCACACAGAGCTCTGTGTACTGATTAGGGAACACAATTTCATTCCACAAAGTCAAGGTCATGGGGCCCAATCCCATTACACCACCATCCAGATTGCTCTTGTTTTGCTTTGCTTTGTCAACTAACACCTTCAGCTTATTGCATTGCTGTCACAGCTTTGAACTGGTTATCATGTTAAATTAGTAAATGGAATGACATTGTGAGAGAAAACAGGAGATTAGGAGGTAGGAGTGCAACAGACAATGATAAAGAGAGAAAAAAGGGGGCTGAGGAAGTTGAATGTCCCTCACCTATCCACTTGTCATTTCCATACCAGGATAGATTGCCTTTAGTGCTGTCGTAGTATCCAATCTTCTTATAGCTCCCTCCTGTGTGAAAGAGAGACAGACAGACAGAAAGGTGGCTGGGGTGGGGGTAGACTTAACACATAGAAATGTCTTTCTCCTGCATGGTCCATTTTCGCTCCACCCTGCTTGGTCATGCGCATCCCAAGCACTGACACCAATCGCATGTGATGATATGCAGCGATCATATCATGTATGAAAAGCTGCCGGGGGTGCTGACGGTCTACAGGTCTGATTGACTGTAGCTTCCCCATGTTGGGCTCACTTTGATTTACCCATTTTATCTCTGGGCTGACAGTCCAGGCCAATCAGCTTCTCCTTCTCTCCTGATGGGCAGTCCCGATCTGCATTGTGAGTAAGAACCGTGGATGTGTAAATACAATGTGTGTTGCATGACTACATTCTTAACAAAGACTGTAAATTGCCTTTTAGAATCAGATCACATCCCAATAATTGTATTGCCCATTGAACACAAACGTCCACTACTTCCTTGATCTTTTCAAAGCTTAACAGCAGCTACTTACAACTACAACTTGCAGACTGCAGCAAAGCCAATTAACGTTTATGTTGAGAAGCTGATGTGAGGCTTGAATGAGCATTTTATTTCCATGTCTATCTTTCCATTTGACTTGACTCGACTAAAGAACTGCCCAGGGCCAGTACGGTTCCAATAACAATCAAACAAACCGCATCTCATTACTGACCCTCCCCTTGCGGGATGATCGAGACCAGCACCAACAAAGAGAATCGGCAAAACAAGCTTTATTTTTAATCAGTCCCAAGAATACAGAAAACAGTCCCAGATCTCAGCACTGTCAGAGAAACACAGGCACAGACAGACTGAATAGAAAACACAGGCTCAGCGAGCAACCAGAGCATCACGCCACTACAGATAAGACACAACCATAACCATGTGATCACTCAGCCAACTCTATCCTATTCCATGAAAGGAACATATTAGTCTATAGTCACTGCTATGCAACTTACAGTAAGGCTAATTCCCATTGCCCCTACCACTTGTTTTCGAGTGTACCCCATGGCCCCTAAAATAGAGTTACAATGGCCAAGGGGTTGAATATTCCCCTACGAAAAAACAAACCTTCAGGAACACGATACGTCATCAGTAGTCGACGATAGTTCTGACGTTCAAAGAAGTTTTTATAGGATTTCTTCAGGACAACGATTGACAATGATTCCAATATGCCGTCCGCTGCTATGTTAATCTCTCTCATATGGTAACGTTATATCACACATCAAGCGATCTAACAAGTCACCAATTAAAAATTAAAAACACAGCATCATTACCAGGTAACTAACGTTACTAGTGAAGTTAGCTATTGAGACAACATGCTAGTGGTTGAACTACCAATCTTTTTACGGTTGTTTTGAAGAAAATAACCATATTACGTCGAAATGACATTAAACTAAGAATAACCATGGTTACCGTAGATTTTATGAAGAAAATACTTGCATTCTGGGAACTTTCTCGTAGCCCTCCGTTTGGAGTGTGCCTCTGAAAAATCTCAGTTTTGAGGGCTATGTAGCCCTACCACTTCCCCCTACCCTTCTATCGCAACAAGAATTGGGACAAGTAGGGCTAAGTAGTGGTGAAATGGGATGGAGCCTAAGACTCATACTGTACAACAAAATATTGACCTGATGGTGGTGACTGCCCGTCAGACTGCAGCCAAGTCACTCTGTGTGGTCGAAAATGTGCATCTCATCTGTCACATCAAGCCTGGACTTTGATTTCATGCAAACAAGAGCACTAAATCAACCACCTGGGTAAATGTTTTGCTAATTTGCTAGCTAATCACACATCACAGGATGCCTCTGGGTTTGAACGCATTTGAATTACGAATGTTCAAGCTTTAACCGGGTGTTAGAATTTCTCCAATCTCTTTACATTTCTTCAAACACTGATGCCATAAAAGCTAATATGGCAGGGGCATGAGAGAGGCTTTTCTCAAATTGTCCAGCGTTCAGGAAAATATTCAGGAGCTATTAACTTTTTATGCAGAAGTGTTTTTTTTAGATATGTTATATATTCTCTTTTAAACAGGGACATATTGTTGCATACCTTGAAGCTGTTCAATAAGAGTCCAAGCCATTCGGGAACCTTGCGCGTCAAATACAACATGACCCTGAAAGGAAAAGATAGAATTTAAATGTTGTAAAATCCCACTCCATCCTTCTCATGTCCCTCTCTGTCTCATGTTACTATCAGAACTCTCAGCCCTTTCTCACATTCTGCATCTCCTCTCTCCTCTGGGTTCTGTACTTACTGAAACCCCCTCGAAGGAACTGGTGTTCAGCGCTCGGTAGATCTCAGCTGTGATATCTCGGTTGTTGTAGTTGAAATCTTCTAGCCGGTGACCCTTGACCTTTAGGGGCCCCACAGTCTTGTTGAGGGCCAGGGCTAAAGCCCACACAGCGTCATATGCCAGCGGGGCCTCCTGGAAACCACCTGTCTCCTCTGGATTTTTACCTCCAAGTTTAGACATCAGCTGGGCTAGAAACTCCTGGGAGGTCTGCAGAGGAGAGAACATGACAAAAGATATGTAATAACTTGCTAAATTGTTTTTATTTTAAATTCTTTAGTATTTCTAGTTTATTTTAACTTTGAGCGTGATTCTGAGGAGTGATCGTGACATGATACACAGACTGATAAGGAATAAGGAATTGTAGCAATCCAGCCTAGAAGTAACAGATGTGTGGTCAGAGGGCCTTCTTTTATGTTTTCTCTTGCCAAATTAAATGAGATTCTTCTAGATTGGTGGAACGACTGTTCCAACAATTCCCTCTGTTACCCAAGGTGACCAGGTCTTATCTGTCCGTGCCCCCTAGTTTTGGAACTCCCTGCCTGAGGATCTCCGGCTAGCTAACTTGGTAGCATCTTTTATATCACTTCTTAAAACTCACTTTTATCAGAAAGCCTTTTCTTTACTCATGACTGATACAGTTTTATTTAGTATGCTCCTTATTGTTCATTCTGTGTTATGCTCCTTGAAATACAATTATTTTAGCATTTTTATGGTTTACTCTGTTTCACCGTTAAGTACTTTGTAACTTTGCTTATGAAAGTACTATAACAATAAAGTTGTTATAAGTTAATATAACTGTCCTACAACAAGTAGCAGTACTGTTTATATGTTGTTTATATGTTGTTTATTCCATCCAGTAATTTTTTGTATATCTATTGCCTCATGTATTTCAAATTTCAGGACCAGGAGATAGCTTCAAGGAGAGGTTCAGGGTAGAAGTGAAACTGTTTGACCATAGTCAGATTGGTTTCAAAGCTGACAGAAGCATCTGGAGAGCATCCAGGACATGCTAGTGGGGACAGCACGTCAACCTGCTGCTCCCACTGCAGTCAGCAGCTGTAACAAACACAGCAGACAGGATATGCAGGACGGAGGGAGAAACTGATCATGTACCCAGCAGTGAGCCATTGATCATAAATTATTATTGCCATCATGTAGTTGCCATCAATGATCAATCATCACAGTACATTATTTGTGCCATGTGACAATGGGCAATAAGTTCCCACAGTCCCATGAGGGCCACCATGCATTTGCCGTCTGTGTGGCTCAGCTGTGCATCACCCTGCCTTAGGATCTCATAGCAAGCAAAGTCAATATTCTCCTTTAAATCACAGTGGTCGTCCTATTCTTAAGGCTTTCTCTCAACTGATTAGCATTTGTTGTATTCGGTTTAATTTGAATCTCATTTTATCAATTATCTTTTTTTTTGTTTAACCTTCTGATACTGTATTGTCCTTAATTTACTGTAGCACAATCTCTAAACATAAAATTTAAAATATTTTCTAATACACTATTTGGTGTTTCAGTGTCTTGCTGAAGGGCACTTGGACAAGAGGAGCTCTGAAATCAAACTACCAACTCTACAAATAATGCCCATTCCACTCTACCAACTGAGCCCTACATGCTGTTAGTACAAAGACTAGATAAAATGCACAATTTCATGCAGTGATCAGATGAGACTATCAAACTGTCAGGATTCGAGCCAGAGGAAGCGTGATTGGTGACTGGTGTATTCCGAGCAGACGCAGAGCTAAAGATGAAGGGGAGAGGCAGAAACCTGTTTCCCCCCCCGCCCAGGATAATGTCTGTGCCTCTGTGTCACTTCACTGCACTTTGATCAATATGAGCCCATTCCTGCATCTCAAGTGCTCCCCTCTTCACTCCAACAGAACTTCCAGACAGCAGGGCCTGCCGATAACACACTCTGAACATTAATAACCCCTCTGTCTCATAGAGTTTTAGTATCACTATCAGCACCAGCATACAGAGCAGTATCCTGGACACACTACCCAGCAGGCAACAGGGCAACAAAACATTTATTCCTTTACAATGCCAGCTAAATAAATTTTTATTAAAGAAGAATAGTCAGTTGTTTGAGGGATGAATGAAGTGGGGGTCTTCTGTCTACCAATGTTTAGTTCTGTGTTGATCTGTGAAATGGAGCCAAAGGATGGAGTTAGATTTCATCCTGCTGTTCATAAAAGCACTATTTTGACAATTCTCTCCAGATTAGCCACTCACATGTTTTTGAAAATCTATTGGTTGGGGGGTGTTTTGAAAAACCATATTTATAGCAATAACCAGGCATGAAAACTCCTCACCTTTCACCGTTTTGAAACCTAAATGGGTCACGTACGTGATTTGTGCAGATCCGATGAAAAAATATTTGGGGGGGGGGTTGGTCATTGCCAAGACTGCATTTAGGCCTACCCATTTATTTACAGAGTCCTCTCCTCTGACGTAAGACAGAAGTAAGCTTGCTTACAATGTTAACTGTCCTATCAGATACAGTAACGTTGCCAATTTTATAACTGCCTGCTGTTATTTACCAGTAATGTTAGCTAAGCTAATTGTTCAGAGCAGTGGCAGCAACCTGTATATAATGTAGGCTAATGTCAACAGGAAAAACGTGTCGGCATCTGTGTTATTTACACTGGGGACACTGAGGACATGTCCCCATCACTTTTTGAAAGCGTTCTTTGAGAAATAGGAGCAACATGAAAAAGCTACTGCTTATAAAATGACCCCAAAACGTGCAGCACCAGCCAGTAACTTTAACAACTTCTTGTCACAGTTTCTATTTGGCCAAATTTTCCGTTCTCTCCGTGTGAACATGACAAAAGAGGAGGGAAGACTAAATCATGCCGACATGTGTGCTAATTCAGCAGGAAATATATTACATGAGGAAAGTTGATCTACAGGAGAAACATATGTGAAAGCAACACAGAATGATTTAATTAAATAAAAACATTTCCATCATAACTTGATGTAGGAAAGGCAGAACAGGAAATGTCACCATAATGCACGAAATAAAAATTGTTTAATGCTCAAAATATTCCAGGGGGGCTCCCCCAGATCCCCCAACTCATATATTTCAGCTTTGATGATTTCTATTAAATACTGCTATTTTATCATCACATCTCGTTCTTGTGACACCAGTATGTTGCATCGCCACGTCTCGTGAGCTAAGAGTATCGTCACACCCCTAATCTGAGCCCTTATGTCCCCAACACTTTTCAACACAAAGTGACGCCCTTACATGTCGGTATCTTTCTCTTGTTGCAGTAGACAAATGCACGTTATCTATTCAACATGTAAGCTTAAAAAAGTACCCCTCTTACACCGTTGCTATGTTTCTCTGCTTGCGTATCCTCCTCACCTTTTTAAATCCTGACCAGTTTGTATGCCTGAATAATTTAGGCTTCCTTCTACATCAAAAATCAAGCAAAGATTTCTCAATATTGAGGTCAAGACAATTGCAAAAACTCTCAAGAACTACAGTTGCACCAGTGGAGCATCCTCTCAGCCTGCATTACTGCCTAGTATTGCAACTGCTCCGCTGCTGATCAGATGGACCTTCAAATGGTTCATGATTAAAAAGCCAATACTTCATCAAGACACCTGTTTAACAAGCATAAACATGTCAACATGTACAAAGGGTATATAGTATATAAAGAGTATATAATGACTTTGCTCTTGTAAACATTACTGTTGCTGCTCTAGTAAAAATATTTAGTTATATATAAAACACTCTAATACTTCTAATACTGCTCTGAATTTATTCCTTTTTTAAATAAAATATTTTAAAAGAGCACTTTTAGTAATGAAAAAGAATCAATAAGATTATTGGTAAAGAACTGATTGAATATTGATAAAATTCTAACAACAACCATCCCTGAACTCGAGTTTAACACTGCAGTTTGTCTAAAAACAAGTCACAGAAGCTGTCGAGAAATCCATCTAAATCAAATGTAGAGGTTCGTTGTCTTATTTCCTCAAACATTATATATATACAAGCATATCTAGTCTAGTTAATGTAACGTTAATCTGGATTATTTGATGATTCATGTGTACTGTAGTTGGTGGATCATCAGAGCAGCAGTGCAAAGAATAGTAGGAGAACATGTTTTAGGAAGCTGAATATGCAGTGTAAAACAGAGTAAAATCAATCAAAGTATAAGGATGCCACACCTAAAATCTGCCTGTGAACACAATGCAGGTAGCAGTTACATTTTCTATAAAACATATTTGCTGTAGTATAATATATAAATGGGATCTGTTGGTATACAGACAGGGTTTTTATATTAGTTAGTTATCTGGAGCTCCTTCAACTTTTTGAAATAGATTATAAAAGACCAAATATAAAAGTTTGCCACAACATGATAATAAATCATACATTAGCCAAACCTGTTATGCAAAGTGGAGTATTGCCACTCTGCGCTCATATGAATTCTAACATATAAAATAACATGAAGTGGATCTTATATTGCAAAAGCTGTCTGTCTTAACAAGTCTTAGGTCGCAAATTACTTTTTGTACCAAAAAGAAATCCTGCGGCAGACCACTTTGACTTGTTTCCAGTGTGGCTTCCTTTGTATCAGTAATCTTCTGGATATCAATGTCAGTATCTTAAAGCAGACAGAAGAAAGCAGATTGCTGCACTAGTATCAATGAAACAACACTTAATTCTAGGAACTCTTTGAAACACATAGATTCAAGAAAAGAATTCAAGTAAAATGATCCTAAACGGAAGAGGTTGGGAAATCCTGAGAAGATTTAATGTTTTTTACATTTTAAGTCTAAAATGTCTTTAAGTTATTTTGCAGCTCTAGCAAAATATAAACCCTGGATTAATGCTTCATCATAAATTCAGAGCAACCTGTGCAACTGCAGATGGTTCTGTTGAGCACCACTGAAAAGTCACATTATTATGCTCGTCTTACCAGGTTGGAGGCTCCTCGCACTGTCTCTGGGTTGAGCATGACAATCTCAGTGGTAACATGACCCTCCACAGCCTCTGTCATCTGCTCCACTGTACAGTTAATGGATGGGTCCTTGATCTTAAACCAGTTGTCTGCGTACCAACCGATAAGGAACCACACATACTTTTTTCCATACAGCTTCTCCTTGTACACCTGTAGAGAGAACAACAAGAGGAGGGGAAAGAATGTGATGCATGAACAGCTACTGAAAATAATTAATATATTATTAATATTTGAGTAAAAGAGAAAAGAGGTCAACATTAAGCAGTGATTCATCTCTGGACCATTAAATAATTCATAATTATTCATAATTATTCAATTATTATTCATAATTCAGTCATATTATTAAAGGTCCAAGCTGTTCTCATTACTGCTGGAGCCCTGTTGCTTTAGGTGTTTTTGAAAAAACAATAGGGTTCTCTTCTCCTTCCTCTTTATTTTTATTTATTATATTATGTTCTTACATTTACATTTCTCATTTGGCAGATACTTTTATCCAAAGCAACTTATATTTGAGTAACAACATACAAGCATCAACAGAGCATCAAATACAGATCTACAACTGACAATACATACTAGTAAGAGCAGCAATAAATACTAGTAAGAGCTAATAGCACATATTGCAACAATGGGGTAAACACGTAGGGAAAGAAGTAAAAAAAAGTGTGATCAACACAAGATAACTTGAAGGGGATAGAAGAAGAAGAGCACAGGAAGTGCATGTTAGAGGTTAGAGGTGTTATCAGAGGAAGTGTTCTCTGAAGAAATTTCAAGAGCTTCTTGAAGTTAGAGAGGGACGCCCCTGCTCTGATGGCGTGTGGTAGCTCGTTCCACCATCGTGGTGTCACAGATGAGAACAGGGACTGGGATTGCTTTGTGTGAAGGGATGGCAGAGCCAGGCGGCGTTCGCTGGAGGAGCGTAGTGGCCGAGAAGGAACGTAAGTTTGTATTATGGAGTTTAGGTAGATGGGCACAGACCCAGTAGTCACTCTGTATGCAGCATTAGTGACTTGAATTTGATTCTGGAGGCCACGGGGAGCCAGTGGAGGTCACTGAGTAATGGAGTGACATGAGTCTTTTTGGGCTGAACAATTTGTAAGGGTTTCACTGCACAAGCTGGAAGAACAACTAGGAGGGCATTGCAATAGTCGAGGCGAGAGATAACCATGGCCTGTACCAGAAGCTGGGTGGCATACTGATTAGGGTAGAGCCTGATGTTCTTCTAGTCTTAAAGAGGAACTCAGTCATTTTGAATTGAATTTTAAATTCTTCATCATTTACAATTGAGATACTTTAACAAACTCCCCCTAGACTTAACATTTGGACAGTGCAATTTAAAGACCTTGGCGATGCTAAATTGCAAAGCTGTTTTGGATTCATCACATGCCTTTGCCGTGGCGTTGCAGCAAATTTCAATGTTCCAAAATTAGTTGTGCTAACTAGTACTAGTAACTGTGGTAACTCCACTCAGCATTGTCAGTTCTGCTGCATTGCGGTTGCCGGAGGTAATCACTGCCATTCTAGTAAATGTTTGTGAGTCCACCTGATGCGGCTGCAATTTATCCCAATAGCATCCACTCTGCAGAGAATAGGCAGCTATTTTTAACGGAAGCCATGTCAAGCAGCACAGAGCAGATTGAACCAGGCAGGAAGTCAGACACAGAACAGCATAGAGAATCAGGTAAAATTTCAAAGTAAAACAACCTCTGTAGACTCCCGATCACAAAACAACACTAAACACAATAAAAACAGACAAAAAAAAGAAATCATTTAACTATGTAGCCTACCTAATCATAGTAGAAGCACAAAAAGCAAGCACTGATTATCAAATCAATAAAATCTAAACATATCAGCAAAATCAGGCAGGCAAAATGCTGTGATTTTGAAATGCTCTCAGCTGTGCAGACGACGGAACAAAACAGGGTCAAGAGAGCTGTGAAGAAGGTAGTAGAAGCACAAATGAACAACAAGTCAATAGCGTGGGGCAGTCTATACATTCCACTGATGAACTAATGAACAAAACCATGATGCAGCCGTAACAGAGTTAGTGCATGCTCTCTAGAAAGGCAAGGGAAGTGTATAGGACATTTCAACAACAAAGCAATTCAAAGTGCTTTACATAAAATATAAAGCAACATAGAAAAATAGAAAAAGATTTTTTAAATATAATATAAAACAGGAGAGTTAAACAGTGCAGTCGGGGATGGAAATTAAGCACCAAATGCGGGTCGCCACATTGGCAGGTAGCCTTCTCCATATAATATCTTTTTGACTATATTAACAGCAGGTCAGCGTTGTTGTTTGTTGTGTGTAGCACTTAAATGTGTCCCTGCTGTACCAAGGTATCTAAAATTGTGTAACACACAGATTAGGGGTGTTCATTGGTTGTTGTTTATGTTCATATCAGGTTACTTGTGTTTGATTAGTATAGATTTGTAAGGGGGATTAGGGGACTAGTAAAGTCATGCTTGAAGTACCTGGAGTGTTTTTAGCATTTAGATAGTTAGCTACCACCCTAATGTGCATACTTGTCAACCATCCTGTTTTCCTTGGCCTTCACTCATATTTTACTGTTCTCTCCAGGTGTCATCCCATTAAAATATTCTCCGTATTCTCCCCTATTTTTAACCATTCTATAAAAACAAAATACCAGCTGTTTGCTACGTTCGCCTCTGTAGAACAGCTTTTTGAATATGAGATTTGAAAGGAATGAAAACTGCTGCTGAGGTTGAGTAAAGTTAGTTATGCTGTTCCACATAAACGACAACAGACAGAAATCTTGTCATGTTTGTGATGATCCCAACTGGTTAGCTTTGTTAGCTTTGCCGCAGCGGTCAGTATGTGTGTGTAGTAGAGAAGTGTGTGAACGGGTGTCCTGGTGAATAGAGAGAATAAGACTTGTTCAGCTGTACCACAGACGTAACAGTGACCGGTGAATAAAGACTGCAGCTTCTCAGGAGTAAAGAGGAGCTCCTGTGTGTTGCTTGCCAAAATTGAATAAAGAGTGAAGGAGGTTAGCCCCAAAGTTAGCTTTGACTTTGGCCCTGGAGAAAAACAGTGCTTCCCAACTCTTGTCAGTGAATGTTCATCCATCCATCGTTATGCAAAGTGGAGTATTGCCACTCTGCGCTCATATGAATTCTAACATATAAAATAACATGAAGTGGATCTTATATTGCAAAAGCTGTCTGTCTTAACAAGTCTTAGGTCACCACTGCATACAGGGTCGCGGGGGGCTGGAGCTGCAGTGCTATCCACCGGACCACCGTGCCCACGCCTGTCGGACTCAAATATCAACCAACTCTCTGCAGAATCGCATAGGATTTCACCTTCATCTTGGTCTGTTCTGTACACATGACATTTATTTCCTGTCTGTCTGTACTAGGAGAAGAATTCCTCCTCTGCTGCTCTACTTGAGGTTTTCGTCTATTTTCCATGTTGTTTTCAAATGTTTTTGGGGGAGTTTGTCTTTATCTGAATCGAGGGTCTAAGGACATAGGGTGTCATATGCTGTACACATTGTAAAGCCCCCTTGAGGCAAATTTGTGATATTGGGCTATATTAATTTTTGACTTGACTTTAAGGTGGGGTCAGAGATTCTAACAGGCAGGAAACAAAGGGGCCTGCCACACAACACAATTCCAGCTTTTCCAGCTACGAGTTGTGTCAGTAATGTTAAATGACTTGCCCACTGACATTCAGCTTACTTTCTAGTTCACCAAGTGTTGGCAGTAATAATATTACTCTTCCTAGTAACTAGTAGTGTAATGGATTATTTTTTCCAAAACAGTAATATTATTACAGTTACCAATCCAAGTAACGCTGCATTACTGAACGCACCATCCTTGACGGCAGGTCAGCAGCACCGTTTACGTCAGCTCTTAGCCAAAAAGCTAAAGGAAGAAAGGAGAACGAGGGAGAGAGGCATTCTTTACATAGCTGTAAGTATCTCCATTATTGTATCACAGTCTAAGATGCAAAGAACATTGTCGTCCATTGTAAACTTTGTGCAACCAGCAACAAGCTTCAACAGCAAATAATTGAATCATATTTATTGAAGAATCTGCTGAAGGAGCACAGCAATGTGAAACTTACAGAAAGAAACTCCGGCCGCTACTGTCACTGATGCTTGCAGAGAGTGGCGTCAAGTAACGTAAAATACTGAATACTGCTCTTATAAATACATGTGCAGGAAAACAGTAGTTCAAAAGTCAGTATACAGTTATAAAGATGGGAGCCAGGAGAGACTGCTTTGTTTGGGGGGAGGGGAGGGGGTGGTAGTGAAAGTAATATAGTAACATAACAAGTAACGTAACTAGTTACTTTTATTACCCATTAATAAGTGAAGTAATATTATTACTTTTTTAAGGAGTAATAAGTTATTAATAACATTTAACAATTTGTTATCTGAGTAACTTGCCCAACACTGACCAAGACATGCTGTTGTTGTGATGTTAGCTATAGCAGCAGGAGAGTCGTGAGAATCGACCATCTTGTGCTCTCTGCATGTTAGCTTTACAGCAGCAGCTGTAGTGACAGTTTGCTAACCCACAACTTAGCTAACATTAGTTACATTATTTGCTGTGTCATTGTTCGCTCTATCTCATGGTATTTGTCATGGTGTTTTCCAGAATCGCTTACCCCACCTTTAAGTTCATCAAGATCACTCACTATAATAAATTAATAGATTTCTTCTGTGATGTTTCTTAAAGCTCAGATTGAGCACTTTAACCTCAGTCTGAGGTGACATGGTAGAGATTTATTTTTGAAATGATATGCCATTGGTGCATATAACAAAAAAATATACCTAAACAAGAACACAAAAACCTAAATAATACAAAAATATTGAATATAACTACAGTACTATGGTCATAGAGTATACATTTAGAAGAGTTAAGTAGCAAGTTTAAATTACATTTGTTGTCTGAGATGGAAAATTCATTGCAAAGCAGACCAACAAACAAATTTCAGTTTACTGGGTTTATTGTAAGAGGACACAAAACTTCATTCCTGAAATCTAATATATAATGTTTTTAAAAGGACTTAAGCAATTTGTTATGTGTTATGTGTGTTTGATACTTTACATTCATGTCAGCCAAGTCAGTCAGAAATAAATGTGAACAGTAGAACACATTACCTCACAGAAGACCTTCCTGGCCTCCGTCTCATAGAACAGACCAACGATAATTCTGGCATCTTGGCGCTTGAAGTGAAAAGAAAAGGACAGAGTCACACACAGAGTAGAGATGAAAAGCACAAGTTAAATACCCTGAAGTGTGAATAAGGAAGACGGGAGCCAACCCTCATTCCAGCCCCAGCACATCACAGCAGTACACTTCCTTTCCACTGGGTTCCATTTATGATGTTACTATGGTATCTCCTGCAATGGCCTATTAATCCTGCGCATAAAACTAGGCTGTCATGCTTGGCAAGGTCATTGTAAAGTGTGTGTGTGTGTGTGTGTGTGTGTGTGTGTGTGTGTGTGTGTGTGTGTGTGTGTGTGTGTGTGTGTGTGGAAGCCAGTCAGGCCAACTTAAAGGGAGTGAAGAAAGGAGAGAGGAAAGCAGGTACATGGCTATGATTTTTTGTAAAAATGGTTATTAACTTTCCTTCTGAAAGTCACATATTCAGACAGACATCAATCTCATATCTGTGTGCTAATTACAGACCTGGAGTCAGGAGATGGTTAGCCTAGCTTTGCATAAAGATTGGAAACAGGGGGATAAAGGTTGCCTGGCTCTGTCCAAAGTTAAAAAAAAACAAAACATATACCACCACCTTTCAGGCTCACTAATTAACACAGTGTATCAGATTTAGATTGGCCTGTACACAGAAAGACATGTAAAAAAAACATGCATTCAAAAAGCTAGCTGCAGTGAGGGTGTGCAGCCTCCTCTTGTCACAGTGAGGTTGTCAGGTTTGGTAGCAAAAATGTACAGGGACCTAAACCTGCGCTCATTAGTTTTTTCTGGCAACCTGTAGGCTACTATAGGCCAAGACAATGCAAAGAAGTAGTGGGTGGATGGACACACTGTTGTTCATCAAGAAATAGTTCCAACACTTAAATATCCCTAAAAACTAAAGTTTTTACATTTCTGTTCTGAAGTTTTGAACTTTAGACAGAGCCACGCTAACTTTTTTCCCCAGCTTCCAGTCTTTATGCTAAGCACATCCTTACTCTACCAGCTACCATACACAAACATCAGGATTGATATCAATTGTCTCATCTCACTCTCTGAAACAGAAAATAAGAATATTTCCCAAAATGTTGACCCATTGCTTGAGGAGTAATGTCCTTGTAGTAACTAAAAGGATGATGCACTTTTTTCAAATCTTTATTCAAGAGCAGCTCCAGTTGATTGCATGACTTACATTTTATTTGATGGGGTGACTTAACATTGTCATAACCATTTGAGGGAGTCTTTATGATGTTTATGACTGTGTCTAAGTGTCCATTTTTAATGCAAAGTTAACACGGACACCATAACCTGCCATAAACATGCCATAGCAGGCATATCAGACTTTTGACGATGCATCATTAATAACGTGTCCTCTCGCCTTCTGTCACTTTCTGCAGGTGTTTCTGCCTCCGGAGATGTGCGGTCTGGATCTGTGATTGCAAGCCACCTAATGCCCTGTGCCTGCTCAACACTTGCTGCTGCTTATTTCACACTTACTTTAGCAATATAAACATCTGTTTCCCATGCCAATAAAGCCCCACTGAATTTCAATTTGAATAGTCTGAGCAGCCAGAAGCCATGGGTGAGCGAACTTTCAAGCTCAACTTGTAAGCCAACATGGAGAGGAAATTCTTTAAAATGCCATGACAACCAAGCAAACACCATCTCCTGATGTCATACAGTCAAATACTTCAGAGGTAGCAAGTAAGTGGACCTTGAGTTTAGGCTGTTTTGTTAATCACTTCTGACACCACCAATTGAGACCATAATGTCTTATTGAAAAAATGACTGTATTTGTAGTTCAAGAGAGAAGTTATCACTTTGTAAGCAGATCTCTGTGGAGCTGGACACATTAGTGGGCTACCCTTGGCAAGTATCCAGGAGCTGTCTGTGATGAACTGGCCAAACAAAGCCTGACTGCTTTGTGTTCAGCTGCCTGGTATATGTAAGAAGACATGGAGGATGTGATACCTTGAGGTTTTTGACAGCCACAGCAGGGTCGGTGAGGAAACTCTGACGAACGCTGATTTCAATGCCTGCCTCCTTCACCCTCTCCTCTAGATCATCCAGAGTCTGTCAAGCATAGAGAGACACACATGCAACAATGAGCATGCAGAAGACGACAGAACGAGATAGACAAGAGCAACCAAAATAGGAGTGGGAGAGATAATGTAATGGTAGGTTGTGAAAAGAAATTTGAAGAACAGTAAACAGTAATTGAAGTAGGAGCAAAGTAGTGAGGGAGAAGATGGTGGGTGTGAGGGTGATGATACCAACAACCAGATAAAACAGCAGGTGACCAGAGAGAGGGAGAGACAAAACAATCAAGGGAGGGTAGATGTGATAGAAGATGGGGGAGATAAGGGAGGGGAGAGAAATAGGAAATGAGAAAAGAAAAACAATTTTCTTAGTCATCTGTTTTGTGTAAGAGAATGCATTTAAACCTCTATTCAAATGGCACTAAAACCCACAACACCCCCAAACCCGGCCAGGATTCATTCCAGCATTGAGTTTTTCCTTTTATACTTCTGTAATTAGCTTACGCATACCTCCAACTATTTTTTGATGGACTGTGTAATGATTTTGTTTTCCCAGAGTGGTCAATTTATGCATACATTCAGGAGGGTATTATCAGTAGGGGAGACCAGATACATGCATGCATGCAACAGCTTACATAAGCGCACGTCTTAATGTTTACAATAAACAACTGATAGATGTAGTACATAATTTGTAGTTCAATCTGAAACTTGAATAATATGACAGCAGGATACAACAGTATGATCTATATGATGGAGGTTATTTAAACCAGCGACAAGCTCAGCTGCTGCTCTTCAAAACTGCAAAAGTGAACATAAAAGCATACAGGCTGACTACCGCTTACTGTGTGGTGTTTTATTCAACTCGATAAACATAGATGTTTATCCTGCCTGTCCATAACCTCCATAAGTTGGGTTAATTGCTTCTCTGTGCGCAGAAGAGTGAGCACTGAGAAAAAATAGAAAAAACAGATAAAAATTGCCACAGAGCGTATAAAACTGTGTAAATTATGCATAAATGTGGATTTATAGATAACATGCAGCCTCACAAAAAATGCACTGGAGGAGCATTTCCTGGGTGTATGTGTATTTAAATAACTCCATAGGCCTATTTAGTTTTATTTTATTTATTTGAATGTTACCCTATCCTAATGTAAGTGTAATTATCTGCTATGTTCTATGTGTGTAGCATGAAGGGACCACAAACTTTCATTTTGTTGTACAATCTTGGTTATGACATACTGCTGAGCAAGATAGTGCAGAAGGACTGGATGTTTTCGTTATTTTTCTCACTGTAATTTTGAATGACTTTTTCTTACTTTTGGAACAAAATCTGAAAGAGCCCTAATGATGTTTGGAAACATAACACAAGATAATCTGCTAAACCCCACTTTCCAATCTCAGAGCAGTTTGCGATAAGTGTGGAAGATTTACAACCAGCATTTTTAAATAATTTTTGTTCTCGATTTCAGACAGAGGTAGACAAAAGCGACCATCAGTTTTGCCTGCTATTAGCTGGACGTGCTAATGATAAGCACATCTAGTCCTTACTCTTTTGTTCTTGTGCTTTTAAACCTGACAGGCCTGTCATGCTTTGTTACCATTGCTAAGCTATGATTGGACATTCATTGTTCAGAGGAGGGGTTGAAAGTAACTTTATATGACAATAACTCACTAACACACTTTCAGCTAAATACATGACTCACAGATGTAAAAACTTCTGTTGTTTGCTGAATGGTGGCAATCTTGGTCCATTTCCACTTCTGGAAGAGCTGCACTCGAGTTGGGTTGTGCAGTGTGGCAGATGGATGAGTGCGGAAGAAGGTGGGAAAACGCTGGCGGTTGGACAGAGCCGGAGAGCTGGAGCCATACGATAACTGCCACACAGGGAGACAGAAACCAGCAAGTTAAAGCCAACGTCATCCTGATGATTTAAACTGCTGCAAAAGGATGGCTAAAAGAGAACACACAACACAAAATAGGTAAAGCTCATTTTAGAAAGGAGTAGTAAACAAATTATTTTCATTTTCCCCCCTCAGCTCCACAAAGCTTTTTAGCCCCTTTTAGCAGCACACTCTTGGTTCCAACATACAGATGGATATGAAAGGACACTGCACATACCTTACCTGGGCAGCGTCCATTTTGATACTTCAAACTTCCTTAATGTCATATTGCATTTCTTTATAGCTGTTATAATAATGAAGAAGATCCATCCTTTTCTCATCGGGTAGGAACTCAAGACGGTAAAGATTGATACAGAAAACAGCAGCCACACTTTGATCCATTGTTGCGTCTGAAATTGTGAACGCTGCTCATCATTCAAATGTTGTCTTCTCTAGGTTTTTTTGCCTTCGTCAATAATAGTTGTATTCCTCACAATATACAGTGACTTGCAAAAGTATTCAACCTCTTTAAAGGTTGGCCGAGTCTGAATTACAAATGATATATGAGATTTATTTCTGAGTAATATTTTATTTTAAAAGACTGGCCCGGAAAAATAACTATTTTAAAGTGGAATTGGTTTAATGTAAGAAAATATTTTGTAAGAAAAATAAATAACCCTACAGAGTTGAGTAATATTGCCCTAATGAGGACACAGTTGTCTTACAGTTGGCTTCCACATGTGAAACATGATAAAATAACTTCAGACTGTGAATCTAAAGGAAAGATCAAGATCATTCCAAGAAAGTTAGAGACAAAGTAATTGACATGTAAAAATTAGTAAACTCCAAGCCGCATTATTGAAGCACTGCCTAGACAAGCTTGTTCCTCAAAACTCAGCATCCCAGCAAAAAGGAGACTTCTGGGGGAACACTGCGCATGCCCGCAAGAGAACTTGCTACAGTCTGCTAAAAAAAAACAGAATGCTTGGGAGAAAGTTCATCTTTCAGCAGGACAATAACCCCAAGCAGAAGGCTAAACCAACAGAGGAGTGATTAAAATTATATTTGTTGGTTCAGATGCTGTTATGCACAATAACTTTTATTTTGAGTTGTGCACATATGTCTGGTTTTATGTTTCATTGTGTCTGTCTCTTTTTCTCTGCTTTTTTTGTGTTGTTCCAGTGCAAACAAAAGTCTGCGTCACCAGGTGGTGAACCAGAGATCGTGTGAAAAGATGATTAAATGTTAGTCTGGTCCCTGCTGTGCTGAAAGTTGAAAAGGGGTGCCCATATTTTTGGCCATGACTGTACATACATTCTCCTTTCACTCAAACACATACAAGGTTCAAGGTATAATGTAGATTTATTTGTCATTTAACAGTACAGGGTTGTATAATGAGATGAAGTTTGTAGATCCATGTATGCTACTCACAAATATTAAATACAAAAATTATGACATTATGAACAGAAATAAACTATTTTACATAGAGCAGTGCTGAGGATGAATTTAAGAGCCTGGCAGCCTGAGGGAAAAAGCTGCTCTGCAGTCTGGTGGTGCGACAGCAGATACTTCAGTAAGTCTTTCCAGACGGACAGGGTGAACAGGCTGTGGCTGGGTGGGTACTGTCCTTTAGTATCCTTTGGGCTCTGCAGGCTCTGCAGGCGCCTCACCTCACCGATATCACTAATGCTCGGGAGATCGGTACCAATGATCTTCTGAGCAGTTTTCCACATCATTTTAAAACAAGACAGGGATTATCTGTCTCTGTCAAGGCTTAGTTAAAACTCTGGACTAATGCAAGATGGAAAGTGGTGGATTGACTATTAACAATTAAAATGTTGATTAATGGGGCCGATTGGGTGATATGGATACACATCTGTCAGTAAATAATAAGCATCACATAATTCAGTGAAGTCATAGTATACAAAGTATTTTATATTTGAAAATGTATTTAGGAAATCTGGGTGTGACAGTTTGAATGGGCCTGATGGAGCTGGTACCAGTCCAGATGTTTTTAGCAAGTCCCACAGACCCGGGTGAAATACAGGCAGCCTCAGCCAGTACCAGCACAGACAGAGATGTAGAGCCAGCATCAGATACAAGCAGCTCAGACCCTAATGTAACAGTTGCTGCTCCATCAAATGACCCAGCAGATTGGCCCCCAGTCTTAACTGACTTTATGAGGACTGTGTTAGTGCGCAGAGGTCCATTCAAACCAGCACTGGACTTTTCTAGAAGAGGTTCCCATTTAGGCTTCTTCCAGAGACAGACTGTTTTAATGATGATTGTAGTAAGAACACTGTGGTGTCAGGTGTGACTGTTCAGCAATGGCAAATTGTTTACATGGCTCACAAGTCTAAAACATTTCACCACATAAGCAGTGCAATGGCACAGGCTAATCTTCTGCACAGTATATGAAATATCCACTTTTTCTCTTGCAACTCAGTTTTCTTATAATACTGTATTCAAAACTGTCTTCAGTGAATTTAAAAAGATAAGCTGCTCTTTGTAAGATCAACAGATTTGAATGTGCAGTACTTTTACTTTTGATGTTTAAAAACTTTGAAAACCAGGTACTTTTTTACTTTTACTTGAGTAATATTGTACTGGATGACTTTTACTTTTAAGTAACATTTTAGAGTGGTATCTGTACTTTTACTTAAGTATGATATAATTGAGTACTTTATAAAACACTGATCACATTCACCACACAGAGATTAAGGGGCCATCTGCTATCAGAAACAGAAACCCACATTCATATACATTCACAATTTGGTGTTAAGTATCTTCGAATAAGTGAATGACTGCTTTGTCCCCTGAGCCACAGCCTCCCCGTGGCGGTGAGAAGGCAGTATGTATGCGAGAGGGCCAGAACGCACATTGTGTAGACAAAAAGTGAAAAATAGCAATGCACACAACTCCCAAACACTGAATCAATGTATTTTCTCTGTGGGGCAAATTCAAGTTTTAAAAAATGGTAAATAGTGCTACATGTAATGGCTCACACTGAACAGCTGTGTCGGGGGTCATCATGAAGGTCAGAAACTGTGTGACGCCCTGTGGGATCATGTGTGGGTGTGGCTAATCTCTCTCTGGTGACTGATTGCAGTAACTCTGGGCACCTGGGCTACTTGCCCTGTAGAGTATTTGTAACTCTTTGTTCTCACAGGGAGCTGCTGCTGGGCTGAGGTGACAGACCTCCCTGCTAACTACCTTCTTCTTCCTCCACAGGTTCCACCTTTGCTTTGGTTTGTGGACATGCTGTTTTTGTTGTAGTTATCTTGCACATTACAACACTCTTGCATACTTTCACCCTGACATGACTGGAACCACTGATGGTCATACTTTATCACCTTTAGTTTGGCACACGCCTTAATTTGGTTCATTGTGAATTAAATAAACATATTTTACTAAATGGTTGCCATGGTGTGTCTCCCTTTTGTTGTGGCCACACAAAGGTCAACACAGGTCATAACAACTGTTAACAGTTAAAACAATAAACATTTAAAAATGACTCCATTAATTTCCTGTTACAGTGTTTGCCAACATCAATAAAAGGCATAAACATGGACCCAAACTGTTTCCTAGCAACAAGCTCCTAAAATAGATTATATCCTGTCTATTGGGGTAAAATCCATTCCTGTGGAATAATGCAATAAGGCATGTGCTGGATTTCCTCTCCTCACCTAATGGCACTGAGTCAACAGGCTTGGTAACTTGCAGCTTGGAGAAAGCTGCCCTCTTCAGCCCCAAATTGATTGGTTTGTAATCGTAATCCAGAGCTGCATTCCTCGTAGCTGACTCATTGATTAACCCTGGCACTCAGGGGAAATCACCACACATTCAAGGAGAGGAGAGACTGTAGCTGTAGCATCCCATCCCACCCCATCCTCATATCCTCATCCCACTCTAAAAGTTCAGGACCTGCCTTCAACTTTCAGCACGGCAGGGACCAGACAAACATTTAATCATCTTTTCACCCGATCTGGTTCACCACCTGGTAATGGGGGGGGGGGGTTCAAGCATTATAGCATGCAGTGCTGGACTGTGATTGGCAGTAGATCGATCAGAGCATGTTCAGTGTGATGTGCAGCTGGCCTGGAAGAGCAGCGGAGTGTTGTAGAAGTCTGTGGTCGAAGAGTGCTCTGGCCAGCACTTACATTTGGCTAAATGCGCTCAATATGGCTTTCTCACACAGACAAGCTTAAATGATCCAGCCTTCAATCTGCTCTTGTTTATGCAATGAGAGATGCATGATCTTGCCCTTTTCTTGGAGCCAAATCTGTGTTTGTTTGTTGCTGTTGTCTTGGTCACCATTGTCATACAACCCCTCATGCCCTCTTAACTCCAGGCTTTTTAAGTGGGAATCCAATGAGAGCAGCTTGAACCAATTAGAGTACTGTTTTTAAAAAACACCAGCATATCACAGTACACTTAAGTACTTATATTCTCTCTTTGTGTGTGTGTGTGTGTGTGTGTGTGTGTGTGTGTGTGTGTGTGTGTGTGTGTGTGTGTGTGTGTGTGTGTGTGTGTGTTGGTATGCACTGTGAGGTGAAGTTAAGGTGAGAATAATTGTAAACATGTCTCTTCTCTCAGGTTTCTTCTCACAGGCCCTAAAAAGTGCAGTCATCAAGCCACTGTTAAAAAAGAACAATGTAGACAGGTCACTGTTGAACAATTATAGGCCCATGTCTAACCTCCTGTTTTAAGGTAAAACCACTGAAAAAGCCGAATGTTTCTCAAAAAACGGAAGAATTTTTTGTTTTGATGTCTTACAGTCAGAATTTTAACACAGACATTAGCAGAATTTCAGTCTTGGTATTATTGGATCTCAGTACTGCATTCGACACCGTCGACGACAACATATTACTAGACCGACTGGAGAACTGGTGGGACTTTCTGGCACAGTACAAAACCGGTTGTCAATTCATAGTTTTCAGTCATGTGACATGCGCAGTGACCTGGAGGGCAAAACAACAGACAAAGATAGCAGCTCACACCGGACTCCCTCGTAGAGATGCCGCAAAAGCCATTAAATTTTATTTGAATCAACTCTAAACTTAAGAAAAAGATAGATATAGACACAAACTGCAAGTATTGGTTACTTGCGATCCATATACAGCACCTGCTGTTAAAAACCGCCAGGTCCCTGCCAGCCCTCACTTGCTTCCTGGTTGGCGGGCAGCGGAAAATAACGTCTTTTTTGCCCTCCGTTTTCCTTGGAATGTGACGTCACGTGAAAGCTATGACTAAATATTTATAATCTTTTACTATGTTATTAAACGTCCAGCCCTCCCAGGTCGTCCAGTAGCAGGTCTGGGATAGGCCTGCTTACTGTCCCCAGAGTCAAAACTAAACACGGAGAAGCATCGTTCAGTTTTTCTACATCTACAAATTGAAAGAGTAAACCAGAAGAACGTAAACTGAAGAAATCTAATGTCAAGTCAGCGCATGTAAAAGTCCATAGCAGTGTTTCAGGTGAGGCCACGGATATCCCTGTAATCGAGGGCGAAGTGAAAACAGAGATGCCAGAGATGAAAAAGATGGCAGTGGCTTCTATGAGCACAGAAACAAAAACAAAGGAGACGGACAACAGGACAGAGGGACTCGGAAGAGAGGTTGCAGGACGTGCAGGGACAATGGTGAAGGAGACAGCTGCAAGTACTGCTGTAAGTGTGGCCAGCCTGAACATGTATCTTGTGGGTGCAGAGCCCCTTACCAACGTCAGGGAAACTGGAGAGGGTTGTTGTCAAGGGACCCACAGTAACCCAGCAACCACCATGACAGTCCAAATCTTGCCACAGCTGCCTTCAGGAAGATGACAATGGCAAAAGACTACAAAAATGTAAGGAGTGTTCAGTCACATTATACTTCTATTCTACTGACAAAAGAATGCCAGAAAAATCACTGGATAGAGCAGAAGCCTCTGTGTGTGGCAGTAGATCAGGTTGAGCAAACGCTGATAGGGAGATGAAATATGGTGAAATGTTTGACAACATACCAGTTAGAAGCACTCTGGGACAGGGGGGTGCAGGCAGTGGTGATGAATGATGTCTGGAGAGGGCAAAATCTCCCTCACAGCACAATTAGAGAGGTTGATGAACCTTTTAGCACGAGCTTTTAGCAGAGCTTCATCCCGTTAAGCGGGTATGCAGCATGAAAATGTTGCTACATGGTTATCATTGCCCATATTGGTTGCAATATGCACTTGTACCATCAAAAGGTTAAAGGGAAAACATGGAGAGGTTAGACAGTTGTTAGGGTTTCAAAATCAAAGTCCCCAAAAGAACACCAACACAGAAAGGTGCAAGAAAGGGACAGTTGCCTAGTGGGACACATGTCACATGGACTGATGAACACCACAAAGAATTTAGCCACATAGTCAACAAGCTGTCCTGCCCCCTAGTCCTCAGTTACTCTGACTCAACCATCTATATTTCCTCCATACTTATGCATCACAAGATGGCCTGGGAGCACTGTACCAGGGAAAGTAAGCTGAAGGTAAAGGCCTCCAAACACTAATGTCTGGAATTCACACACAGCTCTGTCACGTTGCGTCTGCAAACGAGTTTTGTTCAATCCTCTAGCTTGCATAGCACAGCATACATATTCATTTGAATGTGTTTCCTGGCAATCAACAGTTATTTTAGTCTTTCCTCTAAGCAGTACCTCGGGGTCGCTGCAGTCTCTGCCCCCCCTGCTCAGAGACACCTTTGCTTTGTTTGACTGTCTTTCTGTTCCTGGATGTGTCGCACTGAAGCGGCTGCGAGCTGCACTTAATCGGGGTGCTTAAGTTAACACTTTATAACAGATATATGCCTGATCTGAAGTGTTAGTTTCGGTTTTTCACCCCACATGATAAGCAGAGCACTTGTTTAATCCAGTACAGTTCCAAACTAAAATGGAAGACCCCCACATATGGTTTTCCACGAGTCAGAGAAATGGTAAAACACAGGTGTTGATTGGAGTTCTGTGCTCTTCCCCAACAAACAGATGTGTGTCTCAGTGAACTGAAAGTGAATGTGAGAAGTGAACGTTAAACTATTTAGAGAGTTGTATTTTCAGTGAGGATCAAATACAGTTTCAGAGCAACTGAATTCAGTTTCATAATAAGACATTCTGTCATGGTTTGACCTGTTCGGCTCTGTGCTCTGTGTTTTCTCTCCTGTTTTCTGATCTTTGTTTCTGTCTGTTTTCTTGTCTTATATTGAGATGGTCTGTTTGGTCTGTGTTTTGGTTTTGGTTCGGTGTGCTTGTCCTGTTCCTGGTTATTTGTTGTCTGTCTGTTTTCTGTTTGTAGTTTGCTGCTTCTGTTGTCTGTGTTTAGTTTTGCTTCCTGTCTGCCTGATTACCCTAATGTGTATCACCTGGAGTTATTTAACCAGCCTGTCCATGTGTGTGTCTCCATGGCATTATGTAAGGCCTTTATTTCTGTTCAGCCTCTGTTAGTCCGTGGTCGTTTAAGCCACGGACTAACCACAGTACATTTACCTGTAGCTCTGTTAGCACTTTGCCTCAGTACCTGTGAATTATCACTTCTTTTCTGCCTGGCTTTTTGGAATACTGTTTGTACCGCTTGTTTTTGGACTTTGTCCTTCTTGTTGCCTTGTTGGGATTTTCTGTTTGTTGTTCGGAAGACTTCATTGTTTGGAGTCTCTTGGAGTTTGCCAACCGTAAACTGACCTGTCTGTGTTTTGGTTAAATAAATCAAATTCAAAGAGAACTGATCATGTTGGGCCTGTGTAGCGTCTGGCGCTTGGGCCCAAAACCTGTTTGTTCACTTGGCTAATCCTGACACATTCAGTTTAAAGTTTATTGGAATTAATTTCCAGACTAATAAAAGTCATTTTAAATTATGCTATTGAGATTCAGTTTTTCACTTTAATTACTTAAGCCAGGGTTTTTCAAAGTCTGAGAATACGGACCTCCCCTCAGACCAAGCTTGGGAAACGGCGCCCCCCCATCACATCTTTAGTTTACTTGTTAAGTTTTGCTCAATTTCTAGATGCCTATGGGATTATCATTATATTATCTGATCCCAAAGACACTCGATATTTGAGCCAAAATAGCCTAACTTTGCTGTTTGACATAACTTCTGACTACATCAAATAGTTTTGCAAAAAGCACTGTCCAAAGGCCTTTATTAGTTTCTGACTCTGATGGGGGGGAAACAGCTCCCAAAAACTGTACCACTCACACATGTAGACTATTCTATGTGATCTCCTTTTGATAACTAATGCAATAAGTACTGTAATATTGTTTCACTTCCATTCACTGAGTCTCCCCTAAAACTTTTTGGAGCCCCCCTGGCCGCCTCATACTTTGAAAACCCCTGGCTTCAGTTAAACAACTCAAATTCTAATTACAGCTCTGATGTTTTGAACCAGCCTACTTTTGCTTTCGACCATGTGTGTTGCTGCAATACATACATTAAAAGATCAAATATTTGTTAAAATTGTGTTATGACAAATTTTTATCACATTAAAATATTGGTATTATCACAAACAATATGGTATGGCACATTTCTAGGGGAAAACACACTGACAACACTTTTGACCTCAAGAATACACAAGAGAGTGTGAGAGAATGTAAACACGCTTGTATCACAACTGTAACCAAGTACTGTACTGAATGTTGTCCACCATCGGTGCTAAGTGCTCTCTGTGGTGTTTTTACACAGTACAAGACATTACATTTCAACAGCCCCATACCAAATCTTTCTCCTGTTGTTTACTTTCTGTCTAGAAATGTAAATACATCACTTTCCCATTACCAGAGAACACTTTCCTTGAAAGGCCTACCAGGCAGTGGCAACATTTTGATTTACTGGAGGGTGTTGTATTGCAGTGAAAATCCACAAACAGAAAGGTGAAGGTTCTTACCACTATAAGGTTCCACATACGAGCAGCCTCAGCCACCAGTGTGGACACGGAGCTGCAGCCTGGCATCAGCACGATTTTAATAGGCTCTGTGTACAGAAGGTCATACAGCAGCTTGGTGGCCTCCCCTGGATCACACTGTGGACACAGACAAACAGAAGCACAGTCACACTGTGCCCAACATCCTTACATATATTAGGTAATGTTTATCATTTAACAACATTGGATAAAGAACAAAGAGCCTGCATCCACAGGTATATGGAATTTGTAAGGTGACTGCAGGTTTCACAATGAACAAGACATTTTTTCATCATCGTCAATCATCCATCTCATGCTGACGGCAGTCCATGCAGATGCACCAGCCAATAGTAAAGTTCATGGCATTTTTTTTCATGATTTATTTACCTTTGTTTCTAAGACATAAACACATTCATCAGTGTCTGAAAACGCAGACAATCAGTGCCCACAACATCTTCCGACCACCCAGCCAGCCAGACCAGAGCTAAGCTACCACATTTTGGATCAAAGGTTATATCACTTTCCAGCCTGCATGTGGCTAATGTCCAGTCACAGGAACATAAAATAATGAAATAATACTCAGGCTAACTCAGCAATGAGAAATCAGAGACTGCTGTGCTCTCATCTTTACATCCATCACACCATCTATACCAGAAAGGGGGGTGGACTCAATGATTACATCAATGATGCTTGGTATGTACACACCTTGAAAATAACAACACTTACATCACAATTCTGTTTGTTGATATCAGCTCAGCAGCGAACACAATCTCCCCCATGAAACTGGCAAACTTGGCACTCTGGGCTTGAGTATCACAATCTGCAGCTGGATATTGTACTTCCTCACAAACAGTCCACAGCCAGTTCAGATTGGCAGTCACACCTCCTCTACTAGTGCTGAACACCTCAGCCCACCAAAGCTGTGTGCTCAGTCACTTCTTGAGATTAACGCTGCTTGGGGATTTTGTGGACATTCTGGGCTCAAGTGACAAGAAACTGTCCACCTTTGATTCCCAGTTATCTCTGGTAGAAGTTCTCCATAAAGAGTTTCAGGCTCTGCGGAATCCCTGGAGTTCAGCCAGCACAGGTGGTTAAGTTCGCAGCAGAGAACGAGGTCCTCGGTCGAAAATAAAAACATTAAAGAAACAATCATCAATCTCTAGGCACGCAGCATGAGGGACAACCTGGTGATCTTGGGTATCGTGAAGCACGTGGACAAAGTCCCAGAAGAGAGCGTAAAAAGCTTCATCCAGAAGCAGCTGAAGCTACCAGTCGACACCTTGAGGAATATTGAATCAGACCACCGCCAGGGAGGACGGCAAACGGACAGCCATGACAGGCTGTCATCGCGGTGGATAAACTTTACATTGATGGCCAGCTGTACCGCAACCGAGATGCCACAGGGCATAATTAAGTGCATACTTGGGGCCAGAGCGGGCGACAATACCCATAGGCTTGGAGGATTGGACCCTTTAAGACAGAGAGCTGGACCAGTATCTCCTGGACAGCGGTTACTTGGGATCTAACACCAGACAGGCTTATGCACATACACACACATCTACACCCACAGACACGCACACATACACCTGCACCCACACAATTTTAGGTTGTCCATGGCTGTCAGCTTGTAGTTGCATTATTCTTATAATTCATATCATTAAGTTATTTATTTAAATTAATTCTTATTATTTGCCTCTCATGGCTGTGCTGTGATGTTTATTTAATTAGCTTGACTGTTTCTCTTCTTCATTCTCCTTCAGTTGTTTTCTTATGTCTGCTGTTTATTGCTGTTGTTCGGCTGGTTGTCTCCTGTTGTGATGTTTTTGCCCCTCGTCCAAATTTCTCCCCCCTGTCTGGCTGGGTGACAAATAAATACATAATTAAATAAATAATAAAGAAGACAAAGGAGCATAAACTCCCTTGTTAAAGCAAAATCTGCCTGGCACAACATGTTATTCAGCTCCTCATACTGCATACCAGGCTGCTGGGCAGGACAGGCAGGGCTGGACTGGGACAAAAAATCTGCCCTGGCATTTTTGGCCCAGACGGTCCACCAAAATTGGTCGGACACGTCTCACCAATACACCATCCTTCCATATATAACGTGTACCTATTGTAATAGTCCCCCAAACCAGCTGAGTGGTATGTGCCGTGGATAAGAGTACCTGTGCAAGTGAGTCAGTGTACTCATTCGCACTCATTTACTGACTCCATGGTGATCAGAGGTGGCCATAGAGTACACAACTCATACTCAAGTACAAGTACCCTATAAGTCATTTTCACAGCAGCGTGGGATTAGCCAACGCAATGCTGACAAAATAACCTCACCTCAGCCATTAGAACAGTTAGCCTGCATTAGGAAAATATGCTAGCTACAAAAACAATAATAAAACTTATAGTCTAATAGCTCATGCAGCGCTGTTTAACAGTCTTTATAATACTACTATACTACTTTATAATAGCGTTATGATTATGTTATTATCATTGACCTTAATTGAAGTAATCATCATTGTTGTCACTACAGCAAAGGGGATGGGGACATTTAAGGGTTCAGATTAAGGGGGTGATGAAACACTTGCATTCTGGAGACATTTTCTGCATCAATTTATCATGTCTCTTATAAAGGGAAGCACAAAATCAGTATCTTTTTGTGTTGCTTTTTTTAGACAAAACTATATTTAAAATGCATTGCAGGTTTCTTATTGTGCATTTAAACCTTTCTTAAAGCGTTTTCGATTAACATTTCTTGTTGAAGGTATTTTTCAGAACATTTTCAACAAATGTTTTCAAAAAGTGATGGGTACATGTCCCCAGCATTCCCAGTGTAAATGACACCTATGACCCTACCTCCCTGCTCCCTCGCTACAGGTCCCTGTTAAGGAACTCCATGCTTACCGCTTCACCACTACTCTCCTCCTGCTCTCTCTCTCCCTCGGCCCTGTCACTTTGTCACTCGCTAACACACGCCTCCTCCTCTGCCTTGCATCAGCCATGGCTGTCCTTTACTTCTTCGAGTGCCTGTGCCTGGACTACGTTGGGTACTGCAGCTGATGTTAAAGCTACTGCAGCCCCTGTAGCAAACATATCAGTTATTTACGGTTGGAAGTTTTGGGGGGGGGGGGGGGGGGGGGTTGGCCTGCAACACAAGAAACAGAGAGCAGCGGGCCAATGTCAGTATAGAAAATTACCCAATGGTGCGCTGTCCGTACTTTATGGGCCGACCATTGGCTCAACAGTTATACAAATAAATTAAAGCTGCAAGCAGCGTTGGGCAGGCCCTCGCACGTGTAGCACGTCAAGGTGTGAGGCGGCCGCGTTGCAGATTCTGGAGCTCTGCCAGTGCGGCTGTGAATTTGCCACTTCATTTGCCGCTTCGGACGCTGCACAAGGGTGTTAATCATCATTTCCTGTGTCCCCTTTGTGGCGCTACATAGCACTTAGCGATGTGACTATAACTGAATATTGGCATGTAGATGAGGAGTGACTGTTACCAAGCACGTAAAGTTTGGTGCAGATATGAGTATGTACACTGAAGTTACAACTCCCTCTTTCATGGCGAATCATAGATTGTGGATGCCACGCCACAGGCACGCTGTTCCACAAAAACTCACCGTTTGCACAACTTTTAGTAGTCAGTGGGATTAGACTAGACAGCAAAAATCTGAAGTTGGTCAGACTAATTCTCTAGGAGGAGTTTGTTAAAGTATTTCCTGTTTCCAGCAGGTGGCGCTATGACTTTGAGTGAATGTTGGCATATGGATGTGTTCAGGGTGGGACTATTATCATACATGTCAAATTTCGCATAGATATGAGCATGTAGACGTTATAACAACTTCCTGTTTTGTGGCGAACCATCGATTTTGGACGCCACGCCACTGGCACAATCGTAGACAAAAATTCACCATTTGTACAACTTTTAATCATCAATGGGTTTAGACTGCACAAAATTTGAAGTCGACAAATTCCCTAGGAGGAGTTCGTTAAAGTACAAAGTGTGTAAATCGTCAAAAATTTTGTCCAAAATGGCCGACTTCCTGTTGGGTGTCGGGCATCGCTCCAAGAGACTTTTGTTGTGTGTCTGGACATGATACAAGTACCACAAAAATTTCGTACACGTAGGTGAAACTTTGTCCGGGGGCTGCTCTGTAAGGGGCGCTAGTGAGCCATTTTGCCACGCTCATGCGCAAAACCCATAAAATACGAAATTTTTCGCTGCGCCTGAATTATGTGCAAAGTTTGCTGAGTTTTGGAGCATGTTTAGGCCCCCAAACTTGAGGTTACTTTGCAGGGGGAAAAAATCCCTTCACTTCTAATCATTTACGTTACACGGCCCCAAAGGTTTGTCGGTCCACCGGGTATTTGCCAGATTGCCAACCCCTGAGGTCAGGGTTACAAAAACTAACAAACAAAAAACTGCTTTGCAGATCATTAGTGATATCAAGAGTTAAGGTGTCTGCACACAGCCAAAGGGATACTAAAAGACAGTACCCACAGCCAGGCCACCAGTGGGAAACCAGGCAGAACGGTTGGTACCTCTGTGATTTTGAACATCATAGCCTCTGGGGAGCTAGCCAGCTGAATCTCTGGGGAACTGGACAACAAAGTCTCTGGAGGGCTGATGAGCTGAGTTTCAGGAGAGATGGACAGAAAAGTCTAAGGAGTGCTAGAGAGCTGAATCTCTGTGGAGCTGGCCAGCAATGTTTCAGGGGGGCTGATTAACTGAGTCTCTGCAGCCGGGATTCTGGCCTCACAGTTGTCACAGCTGTGTTGCCTCCAGGCAAAACTGTAAGTTTTTGTTTAGAAACCCATTCTGAGTTTGGAAATACAGTATCTGCCAACTGCTCAGCCATTGGTGGTAAGTTCAGAAGCCGGGGTCTTGAGAGGATGGATAATGGTCTTCTCCATAAGACAATACACAAATAGTCTGTTTTAGGTCTGTAGAATTCTGAATGGCAGCAATTAATCTCACGAAAGTGGAGGACCACTCTCTTAGATCCTCCCCTAAAATAATGTCTGCTCGGTCCATAATGTTGTCAGATCGTTCTGTCACAAAAATAGGGATGTCCACAGTCCGAACAAAAGCAATAATCCAAATACAGGCAAGAACCAAGATACACAATCCACAGTAATTAAGGAATGCTAAACAAGAGACGCTTGACACCGAATAAAAAGACAATGACAACTGACAATGCGGGGCCACACACTTATATACACAAGAGGGGTGGAGATAACGAGACATAGATGGAAACTATCAGGGAGGCACAAACAATCACACAAGCGGGAAGTGAAGTGAACAGAAACGTAAAAGTAACACAAACCCAAAACAACACATGACCAGACATGACTGATGTATCATGTGCTTTGAAAGCTCATGTTATCAAAAGTGACCACATATCTGATTTGTTCAATGATTCATATAGGTCTGGTGTTGTGCTCATTGATGGCTGTTACCCTGGCTGCATTAACAACGACAAGTCAGAAAATTTTAGAATGCTGACGTAATTTCCCTACATAGCTAGCTAGCCACATCGACGGAAAAAGACCACCAAAATGGTGACAAGAGTAGATGAAAGCAGCTTAGCTGTACCGCTACCTCAGGTTCCATAAATGATTAGTCCATGAACACTCACTAATAATAGAGGCCAACCCAAAAAATAAAACATGAACACAATGTCAGTCTCACTGAATGAATTACTAAATAGTCCCTAACTCCCCCTCTAGCTTTCCAACAGATGCCCTCGGACTTAACGTCCTTTCGCAAAAACCTGACTGCCACACCTGCAACTCATTCCCTCATCTCTCAACCATATATACCAGTTTAATCCCTTGTTCCTTGCCAGGTCATCTTTTTTAGTGTTTGGAAAGATCTTGGTCTTGGTTAAATGTCGAAAATGATGATGGCTTGAAGCACCACATGTCACTTTGACTTTATCAACATTTAAACAAAACCACCCTGATTCTCTAACATTAACTTGGGCTTCTGGTAGCCTAAAACAAACACCACACGAGATGCAGGGAGCAAACCCCGTTCTATGGTGTTAAAAGGTGAGCAGACAGGAAGTCATTAACAGAGACCATGGTGCTGTTTGAATGTGTGCAGACTGGATAGCTGCTGTTCTTATGCAAACACATCTAGTTTTCACAGCACTATATAGTAGCTAGACCCATTTTATACACACAGGACTGCCAATTATCCTAATGATGGCCTAACATGATGTGGGAAAAGCAATCACAGTGTGGATATATAAATAATAACAGCCACAGTGAAACAGTCTTCTATGTGGACTCCAAAGATATGGACATGATCAGTACCTCTGCAATTTACCCTTTTTCAGAATCTCAGAAATGGCTACTAAAAATAATATCATTTCCCAAATGTCTTGAGGTTTACTTTTTCTTTACCATTTGTTGAAACGAATGTCTCATGGTTAATGAATCAGAAATAACTGATTTCTTATAGAACAGTTATAGATCATTAATAAGAACAAATGCTTTGTTGCCAGGCTGTGAAAAATCCAATTGTCTGGTGTTTAGTAATAATTATAAATGTCAGTAATCCATTAGTAAATGCTTGTGTGTCTCACACTTTCGAATTAGCCTTCAAGTGTTTAGCTATAAATGAGTTTAACTCATGAATGAAGGGTTTTAATCGTCAGAATGTGGCTAATCAATGAATTTAGGTCCAGATCGTCTGCAGGCTCCAGCCCTTCACTAGAAATGGATGGCTAAATGATCTTCTCACAACCTGGCAACCCAGAGGTTGTTTTTAGTAATGGCTTTCATCTGATCTACAAAGCAATGATTTATTAACAATTAATAAAGGTACAAGTTGCAACCTACAAGTCCTTTATAAAGGGTCTCTTTTCTCGTTTTTAAATATTTAATTGTATACAATCAAAACCAGAATAACTATTTTTTAATACAATCTATGCTTCATACAGAAGTGCATTAAGTGGGTTAGAAAACACTAAAAACAATTTGTGAGAATGAAACAGACTGTGCCGGAGCCCATAGTTTGTTAGTTACTCACCATACTGTCGTGGTGTATGAGCTCCAGCTCGTAGTCCGGCAGTATGTCGGTCCTTTTATTCACCAGGTCCAGAGCCATCTGAGCGGCGGGGAGGCAGGCTTGTCCTCCGGGCCAGCCTCCACTCATGGGGAAGAGGGCTCCGATGTAGAGCTTCTTCTTGCCTAGAGCCGGGCAGGAGAGGAGGACAGTGAAAGTAAGGGTCAGAGAGTAGCGGAGGACGGATCTGCGGAGGAGGCCTTGGCAGAGTCGAGCCATAGCAGGTGGATGCAGGAGGCTCAGCGGGGTTCGATGAAGTCAGTTTATTTTTCTAGTGCTTTGAGTCTGCAGGGCGAGCTGTGCGGGGGTCAGGAGATTTGAATTCCCATGAACGGTACAAGTTGATTTTCCTCACAGATCCTAATTTACATGGCACTTTTAATTTGACTGCTTTTGTTGTCTAACAGCTGACAAACAAATTGAATTAATATAAAACACTCTTTAAGTTGATGTGAACTCCTGCTCTCCACCAACGAAAATGAAATGAAAAGAACTTCATAAACCCTTAACGTCACTGCGATTAGAACTTGTGCGGGTAAAGCAATTCGCATGCAACTCATTTAATCCAATCAGAAAAGGAAGTTAAGTAATGAACAAAGACAATTCATTCCTGCAGGCTGAAGTTGCTAACTGAACTTGAATATTAAGTCGATTATCGTGTTTAAATCAGCTTCAAGCGCTTTCCGCTGTCCAAGGTGCTGAATATAACCTCGCGGAGGCTCTGTTAGATTCAGCCTGAGCCTGTTTAGCAGAGATAAGATCGTAATAACACCGCCCCCCTTTTCCTCCTTGTAAAATATTAACCAAAATCAACACTGAGCTCATGAGGAAACACACGGAGAGCATTACTGTGCCCAGATCCTCTCGTCATTTATTTGCCCTTCCTCATCTATCCGTCATACAACGCACATAACCTGGAGTATAGAACACCACAACACACGACAAATGTTCCAGTAATCCAATGGAGTCTAAAGGGAGAGCGGTGGAAGCAAGGTCGATCTCAAGATGAAAAGGTCGCTGGAATGCGGTCAGCCTCTCGGGAGGAAAAAAGAGAAAAACGACGGGAGCAGTGTTCAGCTGGCAGGTCTGCGCGTGAGACTGACTGCAGCAGCAGCGTGTGAGAGGAGGAGGAGGGGGAGGAGGAAGAGGGATGTTCAGTCTCTCCGTTTCACAAACCACTTTGAATTTGCAATCCCTTAACACAGCCCCTTTCATTTATCTTTCCTCCTCCCGCCCTCCCCCCGACCCGCCTCCGACAACAAGCCCCCCGCCCTCTGCCTTTACATCCTCCGCCCAGTAATTAGGGTTAGGTTACCAGTTGTACTTTTGCCAGCGTAGAAAAGCATCATTAAGACCATTATGGGAGGCTACAACTGTCCACTGAAACCCATTCATGCAATTCAATCATACTAGGACCAGGGTTGAATTAACACACTATGGGCCCCAAGGCAAAAATGACACACTCACCACTTCCTTTTTTCTGTGCCAGATCTTTAAGTTTCCACACCTTTTCTTTCTAGCCTCCTTTCTGATATCTGTATTCCGTTCATCTGTAAACACGACACCAGTCTGGTTTTGATCCTTTTGCCTGATCGTTGGACTTTGGATTCTTGCCCGCTCTTTCTGTTTGCCTGTGTTACTGCCTCATGGCCTCACAATCTTATAAGCGACCTCCACCTATTGAACATGAAAGCACTGCACCTTCTGCTTCTGTCTACATTTGGGTCCATCCCATGTACTCCTGTTCCCCTAATTACACATAAATCGTGACATCATCCATCCTATTTGTTTTCACTGCTGGTGGTGGTGATGGTCCTGGATGTTTGGTTTTCTTTGGCAAACTCTTATTCAGAAGCTGTGTGAAAAAATGGGGGCCATGCATTTCCACCCTGGGCAACTGCCACTGTATACCACTATTGGCAGAAGCCTAGTTCAGAAATGCCAGAGATATGTTTTAGGTCAGGACCTGCTCAGACAGCCAACCCAAACGTGTTTTTTGGCACACCCAGATTAGGCTACTTTTAGAAAGTCTCGACAGCAAAACCCCCCCAAAAAACAAAAATTTTTGCAAAAAAGATCCAAGCCACATTTGGAGGTGGTTTGAAATGTAATCTCAATCGGATTCCCACAGATGCGATTCTGGCTGAGTACCTTTGTTGCATGTCATACAGCCCTCTCCTGTCTAAATAATGGAAATATGCTAAAATAAAGAGCAAAAAGTTCAAGTAAAATACAACATTATGCTTTGATAACGTGCTTAAGTTTAAATATACTAAATAATATACTAAACACTGTTTAGCATAATCATTAATAGTATGATATGTGCTAGTATTATATTAGCAAAATATATATGTTATCCTAAAAAGTTGGAAGATTGCAATTCCCAAATGAAAAGGTGATTAAACAGTTAGTCGGTAACAGTTATGGCAGTGTTTCAGCCCCTGCAGTGTTGTCTTCTTCATAAACTAGTACAATCATTTAGCAAAGCACATTTCAGAGAGTGAGAGTGAGCCGTAATGACTCATGCTCTGTCTCTCCCCCACATACAGTACTCCTACATTTACGTGTTTCTTCATTACTGTCCCTCCCTGAGAATGAGAGCTCTCCATTTTGTCTGTGTGTGTGCACACGTGTCCTACTGAGTGTATCTTTAATAATGTATAAGCACAGTAATGGGCTGACACCGATCCTTCTCTCTTCATTCTCAATATTTGCTTTGTTCTTTCTTCTCATTTTAGCATTTCCAGGCACAGCTCTCTACTCGACCGGTTCACATGTTTTTGGGTGGGTTGATATGTATCTCTCCTACCTGTTTCGCCATCTCTATGGGATTATCCATGCTGCTAGAGAAGAGAGGCATGTATCAATGCCTCCTACATCCCTCAGCTCCAGCATCAACAAACTGTGCTGTCATTTCCTGTGACTTCAGAGCACACAGCTCTGCACACACTTGTTAAACCAGTTTCCATGGACATAAATCTGGGAAGAAGATGCCATGCTATTATGCCTCCTGATCCATTTGGAGTGTTTTCCCCCTCAATAAATTTGAATAATACTTTGATGGGGGCTGATAAGTGATTCCCTGGCTTTATAAATAATAGGCTAATTTTGCAAAATTAAACACTCACGGTGAAGTGGGTAAAAGCAGAGCTGCTGGTGTTAATACAATTAAAGAGTTTACGATAGTTAGCTCTTCTAATCCTGTTCCATTTTCTTCTTCAGTGGTGCATGAGTCAAGGTCATTTATTTGTTATAAACTGTACAAGGCATGATTTACTAAAGACTGAAGTATGGTTATATACAGGGGCCAAGTTTGTTTATAAAGATATTTTAGGGCATTTTTAAGCATTTATTTGACAGGGCAGTGGATAGAGCAGGAATTGATGGAGAGAGATAGGGGGCGACACGCAGCAAAGGGCGAAATCACTAACAGCAGTAACAACAGTTATCTCATAGCACTTTTCAATTAGAGTAGGAACTGGCTTCCTTAAGATTCTGGTCTTGTGATTATGACATCTTTTCATCTTTTCTTTGCAATGCGCTCCCGTATCTTGCCCAAGGCCACTTCGACTTGCAGACTGGTGGAACCAGGGATTGAACCTCCGACCCTTTCATTCATTTGTTTATTTATTTATTTTTTAACAAATTTGTAATTAATCAAGTTACAGTCATTGCCCCACAGACAACCTGCAGGTCTGAGCCCTGGAGCAGTTGCTCACTTTGCGCAGTTGATAATCCAGCCTTGTTTGTATATTAATAAATATGTTTAGCATAAGGATGTATTTGATAGTATAGTCTTTTATTTTTTTTCCCTCTTGATTAGTGTAAAAATGCTGATCACTTGCACGATTCTTCCTGCTCTACAAATTAACGCTGATGACATTTTAAACAATGTTAATGTGAAATACTGTTGTTAAGTAGAACACTAGAGAGATACTGCGATGGTTCATCTTCTTTCTCTCTATCAGTTATTCCCTTCTTTGTTTTGCCTCTTCCGATGTCTTCTCTGTGCTGTCTCTAGTTCTCCCTTCTCAACACTCTAACCAAGTTTTACATTTCTATATTTGCCCAAGCACTACAGCCCTGCGGGGTAGCTTCCAAACAATATCACATTTGACACCATTACTTACGCTGCTGCTGTGCTCCAGATTCTTTTCAGTGAAGCTGCATAAAGCCATGTTCTAATTCAAATACTGTAATATATAACAATAACAACAACAACAACAACAACAACAACAAAACAACAACAACAACAATAATAATAATAATAATAACTTTTATATTTATATAGGACGATAACAAGTAGCACTCAGGACAGCATAAGTCCAGCTCAAATACATTGCAGGCAGAGTGAATTCCTAAGTAACTTAACTGTGTTCTTGTTGTAGGCTTTATTCTCTTTTTTGAAAAATTCAGAGCCAAGGGAATGGGGTAATAACTCTCAAGATTAAAGAGGTAGATTTAGTAGATTTAGCCCCTTTTAGTTTACTGAAGCCCGCTCCCACGCTTTACTGGGTTTTCTTTTTTTAACCTGGAAAAAAAGTTGTCACTGTATAATTCGCACCCTAGCTAAAGGGGAATCCAGTGGATTAAAAAGTTATGACTTGTGAGTATGAATGAGACTAGGTTTACTGGACATTTTGCTAGTTGGGCGCATGTAATGTGGGGAGTTTTCAGTAAATGTTGGGAACCAAAACTTTGGTAGAGACAGAGGCTCTGTTCGAAACAGAAGGTAGTTACCTCGATGTCTTTCTACTGTAATAGACAGGAACCTCAGAAGCCATTACTTCTGAGTGAAGGCTTCTCTATGAACATTAGTTATGAACAACCTTTTAGGGCAGCATTTATGTAATTTACGGTAATTTATTTATCATTACAACACAAGGTTTTACAACAAAATGAAAGTTTGTGGTGCCTTCATGCTACACACATAGAACATAACAGATCAATCAATTTATATATATAGAATAGGGTAACATAAAAATAAGTAAAGTAAAACTATATAGGCCTATACAGTTGTTATTTTTATGCAGATATACATACACATATTCACCCAGGAAATAGTTCTGCAGTGCATTTTTTGAATTTGCCTCCGGGAGAATGTAAACAGCAGTAAGATAGAGAT